TGAGACAGAGTATTACTATGTACTCCCAACCTTGCCTGGAACTCACAAATCATACTGCCTCAGCCTCCTGAATGCATCACTCCATGGGCCTCAGCAAATCCTTCTACAACTTGGGTTTTAATGGCAAATCATATTTTAAAAGGACACCAGATTTAACCATTCCTACTTGTATTCTTAAGATTAAGTTTCTTCCAACCAGTAAGCCCTTCCCAAATCATTTGGAGTTGCTCCAGAGATGTTTTCTTAATATACTTTTTTGCTCCTTCCCACTTTATTAATCTCTGAATTTAGCATCTAGCATGAAACTCAAGACTCTGGAAAGAGCAGGGCGTGGTGGTACATGCCTTTGATCCCAGCACTTGGGAGGCAGAGGTAAGCAGATCTCTGTGAGTTCCAGGCCAGCTGGGGCTACAGGGACTCTGTCTCAAAAAGACTGAAAAAAAAAAGGACTCTGGAAAAAAAAGTTGTGAGGTCCAGATAAAGCTATGGATCTACCTCAAAGGTGTCAGGAAGTTGAAAGTCTTTTTGCATTTATTGTAGACATCTTAACAGAGTAGTGTACAAATGTACTAACCACTACATTTGTAAAGAGTAAGGTGTGTGGCGGTAGAAGACAAAAATGGGGGCAGGTTGGGGCAGCAAGCAGGTAGGCGACTGCTCACTGCCCCCTTCCCCATAGTGAAATACACAACTACAGAATACTTGCTTTGGGGTGGCATGTAGGAGGGAAGGGAACAAAAGAGAGGGAGGGAGAGCAAGAGGGAATGATATTATTTACAGGCATAATTCTCAAACATGAAAGGCCACTAAATTGTATTTCCCCATGTTTCTCCCCACACTAACGTTAACACACAAATACAAAAGCAGACTTAAGGAAAATTGGCCCTGTTTTGTATTCTAGCTACATGTTCCTACTGCTTCAAAGCCCTAAATCAATATTTGAACTACAATGACCAATAAAGTCCCTCTATATTTGTTGTCAGTCTTAATCGCCTTGTGCTTGTCTGCTTAGCGCCTTTAACTCTTAGATGTTGCACCTGGAGATTCTTGCTTACTTTACGATGTGGGTTTTTATGCCCTTTCATTGAAAGTAAACCGCCCTAGATAATCCAGGTAAAAATGTTACAAGGTCCACTTTCCGTTAAAGGACAAATAAAAATATTAAGCTTGTTCTCTAAAATAAAGAAAAACACATAAAAATTCAATGTAATCTACTACTGCATTTCCTTTATCAGAGATAAAGCCCCACAGTTTAAAATGCCTCTTTTGTGTGTCTTTGTTTCTACAGACAGGGTAGGGATGCAAGATTATACTTCTCACTGATTGCCCTTTTTTCTCTATATGGTTCTTTATCTAAAGATTTTAATCAACTAGTATGTTATCTAAACCAATTGAGCCCAAAGTTTTATGTAATACCTTAGTTATTAAAGTGTTAAAAGCACTTCATTAAAAAAGGAGCAACTGCTCTTCTTCCCTGGACCTGCAGGATCTGTAGGCCTCTCTCCGACCCACAGGCCTCTCTCTAGAGGTTTATACTGAGTACAATATCGTATAACTGTAATAATTCAACTGTAAACCTAAAAATTTACAGTCAATTTTGAAAGAGATGCATCTTAGCCCAGGAAATTTTTATTGAATATGTCAATGCTGTTGTAATGAAATGCTTCTTCTAAGTATGTGGTTATTAAATAAATAAGTTAAAAAAAAAAAAGGGC